TCCTCTTTCGATTCCGACCAGCAGGAACAATTCTCTCCCACAGACATTACAGACATTACAGACATGACACAGACTGTAGAGAGTCACGATGTTGAACTAATATGTCTGTAAAGTTCATATTGATGATATGATCTGAGGAACAGAAACGGACCCGCGTCATGTGACCCAGTTTGATTGGATCGTCAGTCAGAGTCACAGCCGCTGCTTCACCCGGGATTTCTGCCCTGTATTTGAAATACTCGAATTCGGCGATTTTTACTTAATAAAATGTCAAAAATGTGTAAAGTCAACCTGAAAATATATCTTTAACACAGATCAGTGGAAAATATGAATATTTATTTGATGTGTTCGTTTCTGTTTTATCATGATGGCAGCTGAGGCACTGCTATAAAAGTACACTATAATACAAGTGTGACGTCACACTGTGTGTTCTCTGGGTTCTGTCGTCGTTGGCCACGTTACTCAGCAGTGCCACATTTGGTGCCTTTTTATAAAAATGTTTTCCTTCCTGCTCCGACTGAACCTGAAGCATCTGGTGGAGAAGAGAAAACTCCAAACTAAGTGTTGGGTCTAAAAACAGCCGGACCCCCGAGAGCTTTGTCTGCCATGTGCTGCTAAACCAGAGGAACACGTCCAAGAAGAAGAAGAAGAAGAAGAAGAAGAAGAAGAAGAAGCTTTTGCTGCTGACAGTTATGAAACATTCAGAGCCGGGACCGTGGCTTCCTGTTGGATTCCCATTTGGTGTATTTTAGAAGGAATGTCCTTTTTTCCCCTAACACTCAAGGACACTGACGATACGTTATGGGAAAATAGAACAGTGTCTGTCATTTATTAATAAGTGGGTTAGAAATAGCAACAGTGAAATGTGAACGTGGCGTCATCTGAAGTTGATGATTTAGTACGCTCACAAAGGTCAGAGGTCACAGTGTCTGCTTTATGTTTACATTTCATCAAACAGGTCAAAGGCTATCGGGTTCACAAACTGGTGCTCAAATGTCGGTCCTGGGAAAACGTCGCCGGGCACAGAACTGATCCACTGTTGGAACGGACTCAAAACAACATCACAATAGTGATGAGTTAACAACACGTACACGTAGGCCACTGATGTAGACTTCTCCAAGACCAGTGTAGACCTGACCCTGTCTGTAGTCTGTTAGTCAGTCTCCTCCTGGGAGTCGCCCAGGACTGAGGCTGTTCACTGGGGTGAGGGTGAGGCCGAGGGTGAGGCCGAGGGTGAGGGTGAGGGTCAATTCAACCAGTTCCATTTAAGCCTTAATGTAATGTTTGGTCAAATATAAATATATACACACATATATACACAAATATTCATGGGCTCATTTCATTTTCCTTTCATTTCTTTATGTTACGTAGAGAGAACAGTTCTTCTGGAGGTTCCCACGGTCAGAGGTGGTTCTCCTGCAGAACCGTCTCACCCTGGACCGTGACCGTCTCAGATGTTGAATCCTCCTCCGTGGAGGAGCTGCTGCTCACGGTGTCACGTGTACAAGTCGGTCTTTGTGACGAGACCTGACGGCGGTGAAGCCCAGACGCTGTGACGTCTGTCGAGGACATGACCAGAGGACATGACAGTGACGTCCACAGGACGCTTCATCAATGTGGTTCTGTTGAGAAGAAGAAGTGACGTCCACCGCACCTCCTGCTCCTGCACGTGTGTGTGTGTGTGTGTGTGTGATCGTAGAATGCTGTTCCATCTGAACCTGAAGAGCAGCAGCTGTGTTAAAGTGACGTCCCGCAGCCCTGGAGTGGCCCGAGTCGTCTGTTGTCTGTTGTCTGTTGTCTGTTGAGTCACACGTGTCTGCGTCCAGGGTGAGCAGACGTCAACTTAGCTCCGAGCTCCGTCAGCAGTCCACAGTGATGAAGGAGTGTGGGGACACGGGACGCGGACGTGTTCATGTCACTGACTTGGACAACAGACAGAGGACGGTCACACGTCTCTTTCTAATTCCTTGCTCCAGCCTGAGGGTGGCAGTAATGCCCCCAAAGGTGTACCAAATGGACTCACCTGATGTTGGTGACCAGTGGTAGGACACGATGCTTGACGAGCACAACGTTTCCTTGACGTCTTTTCGTCCCGTGGGCAGTTTGGATGAGAGGACGATTGTTCTCGTCGTACAACAACGGTTTTCTTATCACTGCAGCGATTCACGCCCGTGACGTGACCTGTTGCTGGGAGCGAGATCAGAACGTAGGTCAGATGAAAATGAAGCTGAACTTTTCCTGTTGTCTTAAAGTGTTACTTTACACTGATACACATGATACTGTAGAAATAATGTGGGTTGCATTACTGCCACCTAGTGGGTCAATATGGGCATACAGGCCCATTACTTTGAAAATATAAAGTATGAACTCATCGTCTGTGTTATTGTTCCTGGACCAACCAGTACGGCTGTGAAGAAGGACCAGGACTAAGGGACCTTGGGAAGATACCCCCCCCCCGACCTCCCCCCCCCACACAGGTCACACTCTAATGCCCCGTCTCATGTGGGCTGATGTTATCTGATCATTCAGTAAATACGGTCCATGTGATCGCCGCCTGAGGACGGAGCTGAGGACGGAGCCGAGGACAGAGCTGAGTCCTCCACGATTTCTTCTCACGCGTGTCACGTTGACATGTTTTTATTGCGTAACATTTTTTACAGTATTGATTTCCAGTCGTCACGTGTCGATGAAATGGAACATTTTGGTGCATATTTAAATGTTGCACTGCTGAAAAGACCAACCCGAGTCAGGTGGTCTACATGTCAGAGCTCCAAGAACCTCTGGTGGTGGTCTGAGGTGTTGCAGCTCCCAGACAGAGGTCAGTTACTTTGTTGTCTGTTGTCTTGACTGTTGTTAAACTAACAACCACATCAGGAAACGACTGCTGTGATGTGGACTACAACAGCACCCCCCTCTGGACAACTGGGGTCGGGGGGGCAGGGTGAGTGGTCCGTCCTACCAATGAGACACCAAGGTTCTTCATGTTGTATCCAGCCCACAAATGCTGACCATATGGTCGTGGTCCACATTGGAGTGGAACTAAGTTAAAACAGTGTGTCGGTCAGCGCGTCGGTCAGTGGGTCGGTCAGTGGGTCGGTCCCTGCTGGTCTGAGGCTGAACACAGGACACTTTGTCCTGGTGCATCACACCCTTCCTGTCTGTGTTACCCCTGCTCCTTAGTGCCCTCTGCTGTTACCTCCCACTGGCCCACGCCCAACTTCCTGTCCTTTGTTCTGTCCTCCACGAGCTGCTGTTGTTGCCAAGGTTTACATTAAACCCTGTTACCACATCAAAGGCGTCGGAACCAAAGGCGTGACCTGGACCAAGAACTCGTTCATTTGAAGCAGATACACAAATATATACTGCATAGATAAATATATACTGCATAAAAATATACTGTATAAATATCTACTGTATAAATATCTACTGCATAGATAAATATATACTGTACATATATATACTGTGTAAATATATACTGTATAGATAAATATATACTGTACAAATATCTACTGCATAGATAAATATATACTGTACAAATATATACTGTATAAATATATGCTGTACAAATAAATATTGTACAAATATATACTGCATAGATAAATATATACTGTATAAATATATACTGCATAAATATATACTGTACAAATATATGCTGTACAAATATATACTGTATAGATAAACATATACTGTATAAATATAGTATACTGCATAGATAATTATATACTGTACAAATATATACTGTACAAATATATACTGTATAAATATATACTGCATAAATATATACTGTACAAATATATGCTATACAAATATATACTGTACAAATATATGCTATACAAATATATACTGTACAAATATATACAGTACAAATATATACTGTATAAATATATGCTGTACAAATATATACTGTATAGATAAACATATACTGTATAAATATAGTATACTGCATAGATAATTATATACTGTACAAATATATACTGCATAGATAAACATATACTGTATAAATATAGTATACTGCATAGATAATTATATACTGTACAAATATATACTGTATAGATAAATATATACTGTACAAATATATGCTATACAAATATATACTGTACAAATATATGCTGTACAAATATATACAGTACAAATATATACTGTATAAATATATGCTGTACAAATATATACAGTACAAATATATACTGTATAAATATATGCTGTACAAATATATACAGTACAAATATATACTGTATAAATATATTCCACCCATTCCACATTCTACCTGACTCTGAGGGACAGTCTGGGGGGGTCGGGGGGGGGGTCGATTCTTGATGCTGTGATTCTGAGACTGAAGTTTTGTGTTAACTGTTCAAATCTCCTCCTCTTCCTCCTCTTCCTCTTCCTCCTCCTCTTCTTCTTCTCTCTGTCTTTATTCCAGGACGACCACTTGTTCTACTGTTACCTGCCACATTCCTACTTTTATATGGGAACTGTGGACTATCAGCCAGGGGAATCTAACCCTCACCCCCCTCCCATTCTCTCCCTCCCTCCCTCTCTCTCCCCCCTCAGCCTGTCCTTTACAGTGTTTGATATGTCTGGACAGAGCAGATACAGGAACCTGTGGGAGCATTACTACAAGTACGTGTCGGACAATGACCCATTAAATATTCAAACATAACGAGGCTGTTCTTCATCCGTTCTGTCCTCTCTGCTCCTCCTCAGAGAAAGCCACGCCGTTATATTTGTCATTGACAGCGGTGACAAACTTCAAACCCTGATCCAGGGTCAGTCAGTCCAAGTTTTCCCAGCATTCTGTTTGTTCCTTTTCCCAGAGCGGCCTCTCCTTCCTGGGCCTGGTTGTTGGCTCGGCCTCATATTTACATGGTCCAAACACACACACACACACACACACACACACACACACACACACACGTGCGTGCTGTGGTTGACATGAACAACGTTGAGTCTTTACTGTGAAACCTGTCTGTTGTTCCTGTCTGTTGTTCCTGTCTGTTGTTCCTGTCTGTTGTTCTTGTCTGTTGTTCCTGTCTGTTGTTCCTGTCTGTTGTTACAGACTGAAAACCTCCTGGTCTGTGGTGAAACAAAGACTGGTGAAGACCACCGTCAAACTGAGGGTCTTCACTGGAGATGATCAGACTGGAGGGGGGAGGAGGGGGGAGAGAGAGAGGGGGTGAGGACGGGGGTGAGGACAGGCAGGGGGACGGGGTTGAGGACAGGGTGTACACACAGTAGAGTCAGGCAGTATTACTGCAGTACTTACACTGTACACACAGTAGAGTCAGGCAGTATTACTGCAGTACTTACACTGTACACACAGTACAGTCAGGCAGTATTACTGCAGTACTTACACTGTACACACAGTACAGTCAGGCAGTATTACTGCAGTACTTACACTGTACACACAGTAGAGTCAGGCAGTATTACTGCAGTACTTACACTGTACACACAGTAGAGTCAGGCAGTATTACTGCAGTACTTACACTGTACACACAGTACAGTCAGGCAGTATTACTGCAGTACTTACACTGTACACACAGTACAGTCAGGCAGTATTACTGCAGTACTTACACTGTACACACAGTAGAGTCAGGCAGTATTACTGCAGTACTTACACTGTACACACAGTAGAGTCAGGCAGTATTACTGCAGTACTTACACTGTACACACAGTACAGTCAGGCAGTATTACTGCAGTACTTACACTGTACACACAGTACAGTCAGGCAGTATTACTGCAGTACTTACACTGTACACACAGTAGAGTCAGGCAGTATTACTGCAGTACTTACACTGTACACACAGTAGAGTCAGGCAGTATTACTGCAGTACTTACACTGTACACACAGTACAGTCAGGCAGTATTACTGCAGTACTTACACTGTACACACAGTACAGTCAGGCAGTATTACTGCAGTACTTACACTGTACACACAGTAGAGTCAGGCAGTATTACTGCAGTACTTACACTGTACACACAGTAGAGTCAGGCAGTATTACTGCAGTACTTACACTGTACACACAGTACAGTCAGGCAGTATTACTGCAGTACTTACACTGTACACACAGTACAGTCAGGCAGTATTACTGCAGTACTTACACTGTACACACAGTAGAGTCAGGCAGTATTACTGCAGTACTTACACTGTACACACAGTAGAGTCAGGCAGTATTACTGCAGTACTTACACTGTACACACAGTACAGTCAGGCAGTATTACTGCAGTACTTACACTGTACACACAGTACAGTCAGGCAGTATTACTGCAGTACTTACACTGTACACACAGTAGAGTCAGGCAGTATTACTGCAGTACTTACACTGTACACACAGTAGAGTCAGGCAGTATTACTGCAGTACTTACACTGTACACACAGTACAGTCAGGCAGTATTACTGCAGTACTTACACTGTACACACAGTACAGTCAGGCAGTATTACTGCAGTACTTACACTGTACACACAGTAGAGTCAGGCAGTATTACTGCAGTACTTACACTGTACACACAGTAGAGTCAGGCAGTATTACTGCAGTACTTACACTGTACACACAGTACAGTCAGGCAGTATTACTGCAGTACTTACACTGTACACACAGTACAGTCAGGCAGTATTACTGCAGTACTTACACTGTACACACAGTACAGTCAGGCAGTGTTACTGCAGTACTTACACTGTACACAGTACTTTAGCTGAGTACTCTTCCACGTTCCACGTCTCTTTTTCAGAGTTCCAGTTCTGACCTGCATCCATCCATCCCTCCATCCATCCAACCATCCATCCACCCACCAATCCATCCACCCATCATCCATCCACCCATCCACCCACCCATCCACCCACCCACCCACCCCCCCACCCATCCATCCATCCCTCCATCCACCCATCCCCCCACCCATCCACCCACCCACCCATCCCCCCACCCACCCATCCATCCACCCATCATCCACCCACCCATCCACCCACCCATCCACCCATCCCCCCACCCATCCATCCATCCTTCCATCCATCCACCCCTCCATCCACCCCTCCATCCACCCCTCCATCCACCCCTCCATCCACCCCTCCATCCACCCCTCCATCCACCCCTCCATCCACCCCTCCATCCACCCCCCCATCCATCCATCATCCATCCATCCACCCATCCCCCCACCCATCCATCCATCCATTTTCGTCCACTCATCCGTTCCCAGGTCACGGGGTCAGCCGTCTCCACGACCTCCACCCAGATCACGCTCCACCAGCCCCCCCCGGTGGTGAGTCCACTGGAACAGTTTTGACCTTTTTTCTTTAAAAAAAAAATCAGAATCTCCTGCTAACCACCGGAGGGAGCCAAAGTACCACAAGTGGTGTGTGTACCGTAGCTTGAGAACCACCGCTTGTCTCCAGAAATACCCAGACAGTCTTTGTTGACACGGCCCTGAAGACTGACACAGCTGAGGCTCAACCTCTGACACGAGGGCTGCAGGTGACACTAAATCAACTGACAAACGACCTGAACAGAACCATAAACAGTTCTGGTATCTGTATCCACCTCACTTCCTGTTTGACCCTGTTGAAATTCCATCATTGCCCAGCGGAGGAGCCTGAAACATCATCTGTCCATTGCTGTAATTGGCTGCAGATGTGAGGACGTTCTCAGTGGGACTAGAACCAGTCCAGGAACCAGAGTGGAACGGAGCGGAGGAGCTGAGATGAACCACCTGAGCCTCGACCAATCAGACCTCGTCCCAGGACACGACACGTGTTGGTACCTGGAGTCACCAGAAGGTGACCCTGTGACCCTGCCATCCTCACCCTCACTGCTGCCCTCACTTGTTCACTACTGGGATTGGCTTCACCTTC